TTACTTACAATAGTATGTGGGATTGTTGCTGAATGTTATTAACCCTTCGTTAGGCGCGCGGGCTACGATTGTAGCCCACCGATATTCGAATGGTGATGAAACGCAAAGAAAATATGCAGATGCGAGCGCCCCCGCTAGTAGCTGTTCTATTTGTTTTGCTCCACTTGATCAGTATGATGCGCGTGCTTGAGGCGTATTGTCGTTGTTGTTTTTCGCGCCTAAAATCGGCTGGTCTACAATTGTAGCCCGCGCGCCTAATCACGTAATATTTTCTCGGCTAGGCAAACCTTGGATTTTACTAGTTTTCATTGATTTGAGGTAAGTGTTACTGTTTCAATTGTAAATATGCATACAGTTATTCAATGAATTACAGGGAAATCTATAAAAACAGAATGTCCGACCCGAAAAGAAGGTGTGTACAGACAAGCAGGGATCCTGAAGTATGGTTGCAATGGTTCAACGAAATATCAAGTGGGGAGGAAAGCCCACTCGATTAGGAAGACTCGGATGAAAAAGAAGAGGATGTGTGTGTGGAAAGTGACCATCATGAGGCAGAGTCTGAACAAGAAATACCGGAGGTAGATCAAGATGAGCCTGATTGGGAAGAAGAAACCGATGAAGGAGAAGCTGATACATTTTACTGGGGAAAAGACAAAGTTACCAAGTGGAAGAAGGGTAGATCCAACACTCAAGTGCGTACTCGGTCTCAGAACATAATAAAATTGTTGCCCGGAACAAAAGGTAGTGCGCGAAATGCCAGGAGTGAAACTGATTGCCTAAAACTATTTATAAATGACACGGTGATAAGAATTATAACTATTTCTACCAACATATATATCATGAAAGTCAAAAGTAAGTTTCAACGGTTCAGAGATGCCAGGCAAACTGATGAGAGAGAAATTACAGCTTTCATTGGAATTCTCATTCTGATTGGAACCCTCAGAAGTTCACGGAAAAACCTGAAAAATATTTGGGATAACTCTAAAGGAAGTGGAGTGGAAGCTTGCTATCTAGCGATGAGTGAAAAGAGATTTAGATTTCTGATAAGGTGTTTGCGGTTTGATGACATAAGAACAAGAGATGAAAGAAAGGAAATAGATAAGTTGGCGCCCATTCGACAACTATTTGAAACATTCTTGGTGAATTTTCAAAACAATTTTATTGCCAGTGAGTACCTCACTGTTGACGAGCAGTTGTTAGCTTTTAGAGGACGCTGTGGATTCAAGCAGTTCATCAAAGCCGGCCAAATATGGCATCAAGACATTTGCGCTGTGTGATTCAAAGACATCATACACATTCAACTTGGAAACCTACGTTGGAACACAACCAGAGGGTCCACATAAGCTCAGTAATTCCTCCGAAGACATTGTAATCAGATTAGTAAATCCAGTGGCAGGGACCAATCGCAATATCACGGGCGATAACTGGTTTACCAGTTTATCATTGGTGAAAAAACTGTTACAAGAAAAAAAGCTAACCTACATCGGAACTATGCGAAAAAATAAGAGGGAAATCCCTCCACAATTCTTGCCGAATAAGAATCGACCAGAGAAATCGTCCTTGTTTGGTTTTCAGAAGGACTGTACCATGGTATCGTACTGCCCAAAAAAAAATAGATCTGTGATTTTGTTATCGTCCATGCACTTTGATGATGCAATAGATGAGGAAACGGGTGATGACAAAAAACCAGTAATCATAGCCGATTATAATCACACAAAAATTGGTGTTGACCTGGTAGACCAGTTATGCCAGAAGTACAATGTTGCAAGAAATACACGTCGTTGGCCAATGGTGGTATTTTACAACTTGATCAACATATCTGGCATAAACGCATTGTGCGTCTATAAGGCAAATCACCCACCACAAAAAAGAATCGCACGGTCCGACTTTTTACAAACTTGTGCATGGGATCTGATCCGAATAGAATTTCGGTCAACCATCCCGTCACTGCCAGTGGATATGAGGCGACGGGCACGAGCTACTCTAAATGTTAGGGAGGTATCACCTTCCCCCTCTAATCAACCAAAAACCACTGTTGGACGTTGTCATATTTGCCCTAGACAACGTGATAAATCAACACGTAAAATTTGTTCGCAATGTAGAAGGTTTGCATGCAAACAACACATGAGTGATACTTGCACGGCATGCCTGAAGGAATAGAAGTTTGTCATATTGGGGACTCCAGAACATTGCCATTTATTATTATTTGATTGATTTGGATTTTGTGTTAGGTTAAGTATGTTGTATTTTTTCTCTAAATAATAAGTTGTGGTTCCACAGTTGTATATTTCATTTGCAAAAGACAATGAATACGAGCTGCTTCGAAAATACATAAGAAATATTCATAATTGGTATTTTATGCACATGCTAAAACATATTTGTACATGAAAGCAAGGAAATCACATTTTAGCGATTAAGTAATATCATAGTAAATATATCTTATGAAAAAAGCGGCATAAAAAAGGCATAAACAAATTTTATATGGAATAAAAGTTGGGCTACAATTGTAGCCCGCGCGCCCAAATACGTTATAAACAGCCGCGCGCCTAACCGAGGGTTAAAGGTTAAGTTGAGTGAAACATTTAGTAACCTGGTGAAAGCTGGATCCATGGTACATTCGTTAAAATTAGTATAAAATACACACAGCTGTATGTCAGGAATACATCAAAACGGATTAAAAATATTTGGAACGAAAGTTAGAATTATTACATGAAACATCGTGAAACAACCTGATGCTGCACAAAATGGTGTGGCACAGGATCATAAGTAGAATGAAACATTTGACAGATGACAGAAGGCTGGTATTTTCAGTGCCAATGGGTACGAAAATTATATATATATATATATATATATATATATATATATATATCACTTATATGCATCGTTTTCTTTTCATTTCCAGGTTTATTCATCCTGCAATCGGCTTCGGCTGTTGGATGTTGCTTAATAAGTAACCAAATAAATTAATGATTAAATAATTGTATGCTTGACTGCTTTTACCCATTTAATTCATTTGTTATTCATGTTCTTAACTAACTTTCCTCTCAGAGGGGCAACTTGTGCCCAACATGATCCCTTATAAACTGATAACAGCGTTGCGTGAGAAATGCGAAGTCAACCTACTTGACGCCTTTTTTCACAGCTCAGCTGGATCTGCCCTTCAGCTTTCCGATTACAACACTCTGCAACATGCTGTAGATGTACATGTTATGATATATCATACCTGACACCATCAGAAAACTGTTGTCCCAGCCAAAGCCAAATACATAATAACCCATTGGACGGTATTATGACAGTAAATAATTTAAAAAGGGCATATCGTGTATGCAAGCTGTTACAACACCCATAATTACGTCTAAAATTTAGTAGTTTATATTATTCCTTCCCTCCAAACAATTTTGCGGTCGACTTATATACCTAATGAAAAACGGGTTAATGCTACAAAAGTACAAATTGAGTTATAATAGAAGGGAAGCGAGCCACAAAGTGAATGGGCTGTGGACACATACCGCGGCCCCCGGGACCTTTTTTCAATGAATGGAATGTTTATTTTGAATATAATAGCTTTGCGGTTTTCACTGTGTAGTAAGCAAAAACGTCGGTTTGTATAATTGGCAATCGCCGTTGAACGAACTTTGTCGGTATTTGCTTATCTTTAAATTTAAATGTTTTACTTAAATCCCATTTGAATGGAAATAGTCGAAGATCAAATTCAATAAACTGCTTCGGTCGAATCTGTAGGTTCCGTCAGAGTGACAAATTTTGTACGTCAAATACCACGACACATCAAGATTATTTGACGGTCATTTAATTTCCCACGCTGCTGACAAAGAAGTATTGTAATTGCAAAAAAAAATTAGAATGAGATATTATTTTTTTAAATGATATATGACATATCTGTACATCAGAGGTAAAGTATACTAAGTCCACTTTTTGCCAAAAATGAGTTATCTGTACTATGTCCTGGATATAGTCACGGTCTTTCAGATGGCCATATTGTTTTCTACGAGATGACAGGTTTCTAAAAGTTAGAGACTCAGTAGCAAGTCACTAAGCTAGTCAGAGGTAAACTGTATCCAATGCACTTGGTATTATCCTGTGAAGTGCTATGTCCGTCCCGCGGGGACTTGGTATCGCTTACAAGACGTTGAACCTGTCAGAGCTTGTTTCACGGATAGAATTTTTCTCGCCGCGATTTATCTGTATCTCCAGTCAGTGGCTATTTGGCTTCCGATCAATGTAGAGATGTCTTCGAAGAGTGCTAAAATTTTTGCCGCGCTGAAAACGTACAATTTGCAAAAAAATGACAATGGAACACAAAACAGTGAGTAGTTATTATATACTGGCGCCTATTCCAATTGTTAATGTTCTTCATCCATTGTTACCAGGTTCTGGTGAAGCTTATAAGCAGTCTTTACCTGAAGAGTATGATCATTCAGATAACTTTTGTCTTGTGGGAAGCCCAGAATCACTAGTTAGCCCTGTAGCTGACTTTGAACCAGGTAAACACCGACGGTATGTTTTTCTAGAAGATGCAAGCTTGGCCTGTAAATTGCCAAGTCACCTGACGGATTTGCATACCGTTGAGAAACTCACGACCTGTGACGGTCCTTGGTTGCATAGGAGTTCCTCATCTTCGCCCAGCTTACTCCAATCTAGTAATATGAATCTAACAGCTACTCCGGAGCTTCGGTGCGATACATCAAATAGTGACAAAGGTGAACAATTTCTTCTCAATATCTTTTAGTATTTTTTACCGTTTTTGTTTTAGCTAAAAGGAGGCAAACCGCATCCGTCGATAACATGGAAGGTGAAAAAGCATACAAGATTTTGTAAATTCAGATAGTACTACTAGCACCGACAGCTCTGAGAGACATTTAGGTTCAGCTAATGAGGAAAACGTGTCAGAACCGGCAAAGACAAAGAAGCGTCAGAGGAATATTGCTAAATGGAAATGTAATGTGAGGAAACGTAAATCCCTTTCTGGTGAAAAGTATATGTCTAAGCGCAATACTGTAGTTAAGGCCAAATCTATGGGCCCATCTTGTAAAGATAAGTGCAGGTTCCAATGCTCTAAAAAAGTTCTCCAGATCGAGCGCGAGGGTATCTTTGAACAGTTTTGGTCACCTTCCAAAAACCATCAACCTTAAATGACAATTTGTTGCTTCATGTGTACAATTAGTTCCAATCAAAACGAGGCGTGAAAGAACTGGGGAAAGGGCAAATAATAAGAAAACTTCCAATAGGAAATTCAACATCACTATTGATGGAATTCAAGTTGAGGTCTGTAAATCGTTCTTTTTGAAGACTTTAGGAATTTCGCAAACATTTGTGTCTACCGCTCTATGTAAAAAAGTCATAGGTGGTATGGTCCAATCCGACAATCGAGGTAAAAAGGTTCCCCCAAATAAAATATCGGCTGAGGTAAAGGATACCATAAGAGACCACATTTTGAAGTTTCCAACAGTAGAGTCTCATTACAGTAGAGAGCGCTCATCCAAAAAATATCTCGAAAATAGCTTATGCATATCAAAAATGTACGAGCTTTATAAACAAGAAATGTTGGATGAAAATATTCCTGAAATTGATATTCCAAAGCTGTGGCTATACACCGAGATATTTAACAATGAATTCAACTATTCATTTAAAGTTCCCGATAACGACACGTGTGACCAGTGTGACAGATATCTTGTTCAACTGAAGCAGTCAACTCCTGAAGAACGGATGGGCGTACAAAGAGAGTATGATCAGCATCTGACTGAATCCAGTGACAGGTATGCCCTCAAAAGACAAGATACATCAAACTCCTTTGATCAGAGTTGGACCTAAGCCCATTTCAGATAAAAAATACGAAGACCTCCAAAAGCTAATGCAATGGGTACCAAAAATCTTCCACAACCTTTATCAAAATCTTCCTCAAACTGGGAACAATGTCATTGATGGATAGAGTTATCAATTCATAAAGGCCGTCATTTAACTCTATACAGTATCCAAATTAATAGTTTGTTAGTTTCCAATGTAAAGAATGATTTGAATTACACAGCCCATGTAATATTTTAATAAATTAATTAATGAGCTAAGTGCAGGAAGGAATACTGTTTTCAGAGGTATAAAATACTGCCATCTAAATTCAAGAAACTAGCATACCATGTCCACCGATAGAAAATAGTTTCAGAGGTAAAAGGTACCAAGTCCTGTTAAACAAAAAATTACTGGTGTTAAAACAAAAAATTCATGCTCCTAGGTGAAGCACCCCCTTTTCGTTTGTAGAAAAAACTTTGAGGTTGATCTGTAAATGTGCAAATGAACAAGAGCAGAATATTTGAAGAAATATCCTTTACCATGCTCTCCTGTAAAATCTACCTTTTGTGACATAGTACACTTTACCTCTGATGTACAGATATACATCAAGAAAAACCATGTCACTTATTTCCGTCGGTCTGTCTGCCTTTCGGTCCACCGTTCGCTAATCCTTGGTCCATCAATATTTTCACAAAAGGTTACTACTATGCCAAGGACGAAAAGGCTTTGTACTTTTGGAGAATCGGTGCAGTTGCGACGGAACAAAAAAATCCTGTGAGAGAATTTTCAAAAATCCGATGCCACTTTTACGCTACGATGTACTTACGTTTCACTTATTATTATTATTACTTTTAGAATGCACCCATACCATGTCGTTTTGCATCAGACCTTGAAAGAGGAAGACTTTGCCATTGGATGTTAATCATGATACGCGAAAATAGAGAATTTTCATTTCAACCTCTTTGGACCGATAAAGCCACCTTTAATAGTAACGGTAGGATCAATCTGTACAATATGCATCAGTTGCGTGAAGTTCGGGACCAAGGGCGTTGGAGTTTAAATGTGTGGCGTGGCATACTGAGATGCAGAATTATTGGACCATATTTTTTCAAGCAATCCCTAAATGGCAATGTATTTCTTGACTTTTTGGATAACCAGTTACCGTTGTTGTTGGAAGATGTACTACTGGAAACACGGCTAAACTTGTTTTTGCAGTTGGATGGTTGCCCAGCACATTTTGCTATTATTGTGCGAGAGCATATTAATGCAGTATTTCAACAGCAGTGGTTTGAAAGAGGAAGTCTATTTCAATGGCGTTTGCAATCACCAGGCTTGACTTGTCTTTATTTTTATTTATGGAAACCGTTGAAGGACATTGTGTTTCAGACTCAACCTACAACCAGAGAGGATATGTAAAACCGGATTCGTAATGCAATAACCGAGAGCCGAAATTGAAGTTGCAGTTTTGTGTACCCATGAGAGGGTTCAGGTATGCATCGAGCGTGATGGTCAGCATTTTGAGCATTTTCGGGGCCATTAAAAATATTTTCTTTTTAAATCGGGCCTTTTTCGGGCCACAAAGAAAAACCTCTTTTGTAGAATGAATATTGTTTGTATTCCACAATAAATATGAAGCACCTCATGCGATAGTATGTCAGTGGAAAATAATTACCTATTTACAAGACACTTACGACTATCTAGGATTCTGAATCCAAAGTAAGCCGAGTTAAGCCCAAAAAAGTGTTTCGTCCTTGCAAAGACCCAGAAATTTGTGGCTTTCTAACTTCTCTATGGTAATACTGTTTAGCGTGAGCGTCAGAGCAGGTACACATCGCCTTTTATAGGAAACTATATACCTACTTTGTTGTGGATGAATTTACTATCAACTTGTTTCCCGAAGTCCATTCAGAAATTTTTAATAAAATTATGTCTTGCCTTGCAAGACCAGTACTACTGTTATATTGTAAGACCAAGACCAGACAAGTACCTCAAACGTCTTTAAGCCGTTGGCAGTACCTTCAGATCTGCAAGCTTACGGGATATCGTATCGACACTTTTTATTACTACGAACAAGTTTGTAGGAAGGATATTTCCAACCAACGTTTAAGATTTATAGCGCGTTGTTTCTCCGTAACACATTATAATTATATACTTCGTATGTGGTTAATGAATAAGATTTTTAATTCTTGCTTGTCGGTACTATCTTTGGTACTATGTAGGGTAATCATTAATGGTGGATTATATATGAAATGAATGTTTGTGAGATTTCAAAAGGCCGTTTTGACAATTTTTTAGATCGAGTACCTACGTAATTGTGTTGAAGTATCAGAGAAGGTCGCTATTCTACGGATAATGAAACAACTTTTTAAAAGATAACTGATAAAACATACTTCCTGGATATCTCCACAACATTTATTGTAAGCAAGTTGTAGGAAGACGCTACATCCCAGGGTTGCCAGGTGTGATTTCTTACCAAATCTGGTTGTTTTTTCATCCCTTTGCTGATTGGTTAAAACTTTCCAAAGTGCCACTTTTCTGGTCACTTTTTGAAATTATTACATTATGGTTATTGAAGACAAACATTACAGAAAGCAGGCAACAACTCAACATGAATAAATTAAATTGTTTATTGACATTGTCAAAATCAAATATAGTATTATGGATTTGTCCTAGTGCGGCCATGTACTGGGCGTTGTAAGGTTGTCATTTCCACATAAAATAAAAATTGCGCGTTTTTTTTGTCTTCAGTTTCCAACTGACGGCAACAGCCCGAATGCTTAGCTACACCACTATCTCATAATAAAGTTTATTGGAGATCAGAGGTGCTTTCCAGTGCCTTGTTTGTGTTACTAGGAGTTACTCGGACCTACCGTTCCAGTGCTCTAGAGTGTCATGCATCTGAGCTACTCATTTTTGAAATCCATGGCCCCCTCATGCACCAGCTTTTTATTCGGTGTTATATGCTCCGTAATAGTGGGAATAACGAAAATTGCAATGTGTCAAGCCGTTAGGTTATGTTTTTTCATCTTTTTTTTTTGCATTAAACACACATTAAACCGATACCAGAGGATGGTAAAAAACTGATAAAGCCACAACGTACATTTGAAATGTTCCTGAATAATACTGAGTACAAGAGAGTGCAAGGAATACAGGTTCATAGCGGCTTGTAGTTGGCTTTATCTATAACTAGACACTTTAAAAATAATTTTGATGGTCTACACTAAAATATGATCTCAACACATTTATCCAGAAGCTTTACAATAAAAATGCAGACCTCTGACGTGTTAGCAAAATGAGTTTACTTTTTCATTGTTTGGCAGTGTGATACAAAATGTCAACGACAAAGCAAAACATCAACAAACAGATTAGTTTTTATCGTCGCCTTCCCGTGCACATTTGCTAGAGCAGTTTGGGAGCGTCACACTCCGGAAGCATACAAGTCTCAATTCGAAAGAACTGGAAACTGCCTCTGACGTTTGGCAACTAATTCAGATGATAAATATATTTTTTGAAAATTTAATTATAGTCGTTGGTTTAAACAATACTACATCTTAAAATGAACCTGCTCTGCTTTCTTTCGTCTGAGAATAACAGCCAACCATTGACAATTGTTTCGTGCTTTTTCGCTACACCTCGTCATGGGTCTCTTGGACAACGACCGAAAACATAGCAACAGTACTTCATCTTGTCTCCTTCATCGGCTTTCCAAGATGTTGTCTTTTGAGTCTACTAGACAAACACCTCAGGCTTTCGTTTCGTATACCAACTCTGCGGTGCTTCCTACACTCTGGTTGTAACAAAAGAATCGGAGCGGCTCTGTATTTTTACAGGAAAGATACTTTGAAATAGGTCATGGTCAGTTCCATGGTTACCTTATTTGACCTTGACCCTCACCTTTAAGGAGGTGATATCAATGTTAACTTTAAACAGAAAGCCCACTTTTTGACACCGGCAATCGAAAGAACTTAAAGTCCTAGTATAAGATGAAGCTCATCTCAGAAGGCCAAATGAAGATCACATTCTTAAAAGCCAAGCAAGATTATTGAAGCAAAAATTAGGTCTATAGTAACTTTTAACAAAAATTTCAATGGTGAACCGGGATTAAACCTTGAGCGTCACCTTCAAAGTCTTTTCATGATCAACTGTTTTAGCCTGGATATCGGCAAAAAAAAGCTCACATTCCATTAGGTTATCATATACGAAAATGACCTTGAAAGAGAGTTGTGAAGGTCACATCCAATGTCAATATTGAAATTGCTAAAAGTTACTAAGGCTCTAAACTTGTTTTTTTCCACCAATAGTACTGCTAAAAAATGTAGCAATTTTCTCTAGCCTAACATATTTGATCTTCAATTGACCTTTAGGGGTAACCTTCATCTTAGGTTTCAATTCACACACAAACGATCTGGAATAACCTGGCACCAAAAAGTCAAATGTGAGATTGAGTATATCAAACCCCGAGTATAAAAAGTACGAGGATAGATAAAACTTCAGAGCATGTTACTCTTGATTGTCCAGCTCTGAGTACTTTACTAGCCTACTTCAAGATAGACGACAGGGGGTTCAAAGTATTGCCAAGAACTCAACTGCGAGGAAACCAAACTCTATTATCCAGTATCAACGAAAAAAAAAGGAGGCAAATAAGAGACAACCTTCAATTTGTACATAATCATCATTACCTGCTGT